TTTGAGACCAAAAGTAAGAAATTTTGTCCTGATCAGGCATCTGCAAATGATTAGTTTGGAATTCTTTTCTGGGGAAAGAAAGCCATTTCTGATTTTCTTTTAATTCAAGACTAGAGAGGTAATTGATTTAGCAGCACACAGTATACCAAGCCTTTCTTTAGTTTAAGAACTTACTTGTAGCTGTCAGTTGTTCCATATTAACTGTAATTTTTTTAAGCAGTCATTTTTTGCTTTTTAGGAAAACTTTGTGACTTTGGCTTGTAGTTTCCTTCTGCTTAATGTTTTATAGGAATAATCCTGTGAAGTTTTTCAACCAGTTTTATTCTGTAGGTGTTAAATATTCAGATGTGGATTATGTATACATCTTGTTTCTTATTTATATTCCGACTTTTGAACTGTGTTGTGTCTTATTCACACCTCCAGTAGAGTGCCTGAGGAATAATGAAGAGAAAGTGAAACAGACAGTTTCCCTATTCATTAACAGCTCTTCTGAAGGTTTAACGTTTAAACTTCTGGCTAGAAGGCATGGAGCTGGCTGGTTCTTTGATTTCATTTTATCCTACCTTTCCCTTTCTCATAAATGCAATGGATAAATGACTCTAATATCTTTCTTCTCAGATGAATTAAGTTTTGACTTTGTTAAACTGTAATAGGCTTGCCTAATACATTAAATACCACCTTCTTAGAAATGACTTACTTCCCCTCATTTCCCCAAAACTACCTGCGGAAACTCTTGTAATCACCATTAAGAGAAAATAAGTTGTAACTTAGAAAATAATCTTGCTCAGGGCACCTGGCTGGCTCAGTTGGAAGAGCATGCAACTCTTGATTTTAGGGTCTTGAGTTTGAGCCCCACGTTGGATATAGAAATTACTTAAATAAATAAACTTAAAAAAATATTCTTGTTCAACAATTCTTGTTCAAAAGACAGTTGAGATCTGTGCAGTTTGCTACATTGTATGATTTGGACAAATTTTACTGATAATGTATTCTTTTTTTTTTTTTTAAAGTAAGCTCTAGGCCCAGTATGGGGCTCGAACTCAGGACCCTGATGTCAGGAGTCATATGCTCTATTGACTGAGCAATATATTGATAATATGTTCTTGATTTTTTTTACACATTGATAATTTTTATATATATATAAATTATAAGTTTATATAATACAAATATATATACATATATATAAAATAAAGATCTAAAGCTCCTTTTTTTTTCACATCAGTTTCTACACTAGACAGAGCTGACTGCTATTGTGCTAAAAATGATGTCTTTTCTTTGTAGAAAAACATGATTTAAACAAAAATTCCTATTAAATGGTTATTGAACTGCTAAGGTTGACACTGAAGGGCTAGCTCACTGACAGAGCCAATAAAGCTATGCTTTTCTTCCCTTTTTAAAAAGTCAGTTATTTTCGGGGCGCCTGGGTGTCTCAGTCGTTTAAGCATCTGCCTTTGGCTCAGGTCATGATCCCAGGATCCTGGTATGGAGCCCTGCGTCGGGCTCCCTGCTCAGCAGGGAGTCTGCTTCTCCTTTTCTCTCTCTCTCTCTCCCTCTGCCCCTCCCACTGTTCATTCTCTCTCTCAAATAAATAAAATCTTAAAAGAAGTCAGATTATTTTCATATTCTTTGTTTTGACAGACAACCACCAAATGTTAGTATTTATCCATGTTTAAGATTTATGTTTAAAGTAGAAAGTCTTCAATGGAAAAAACATTAATTTTGCCTTTCTCAGAGAGGAGGAGTTCTATAGATGTACACAGATATTTGTTTTTAAATATTAGCAGATCTTATTTCTAATTAAAAGTCAGAAAAATTACAGGCAGTTTTGATTTTTATAACAAGCATTGAAGAGGAGCTTGCCAAATAAAAACTTTTTTGTTGACTTGTAATTCATAATAATATAACTTTTAAATATATCTTTTCTTATTGTCTTCTAGAAGTAGTTACAAAACTAGGGAGGAGAAATAATTTGCAAATTGATTCTCTAAATAGTTAATAGGAATTCGGAGTTAATCTGTCAATGTTTGGGTTCGTCTCCATAGCTTACTATCTATATGATGTTGGCTGAGTTACTTAACCTTTCCAAGTGTCTATACAATAGCGGGGATGATAATAGTACCTACCTCATTGGAGTTGTTAGTAGCTAAGTAGTTGTTAGTAGATAACTTAGTATAGATATGTAGCAAAGTGCCTTGCAGATAGCAATGAAATATTAGCTGATTGTTTTTAGTACTAGCATCATCTTTGAAGAGCAACCTAACCTTTTTTTCTTACCTTGGTAATAGAATGTATTAGTGTGAAAAACTATATAGTCCTAAGTTTAATTTGGAAAGAAAAAGTCAAATAAGTATGTTCCTTTAATAAAGAAAAATTCCTTTGCCTTTGAACATGGTGGATTTTTTTTTTTAAATCTGTAGTTGAGTTAAGGTAATGAACCCAGATTTACCTGGCCTGTCTTTGCATACACAATTATAGAAAATGGGAAGCTTTTTAAAGACTAAAGGACAGGTGATCTGTGCTTTAAGGAAGACTTTTTATAAACCCATTTTGATACTAAAATCTGTAACATTTGTATTAAACTTTCAGGAAATACTAGCACAGTTTAGTGTCTTGGAAATAAGGTGATATAATTTATTTTCATTCTGAACATTTTTCAGCTGCATGATCTAATCCGTAAACTCTTGATTACATTTGCAAAGTTATGTGTCTACCTAGCACAGGAACACAGAGGGCATATTCCTACTCCAATAGTCTTTGTACTTTTTGCTTTCTTTGCCTAGAATCCTTTCATCCTCATTGTAGCCCATCCTTGGGGCCCTCATGGGGCAATCATGACTCTACAGAAGGGTTGTCTACTTTTGAAAGATGTTCTTTCCTTTATCTAAAATGTTACTCTCCATCCTTATGCATTTTTTCCTCATTACAAGGTATTATATTACACACTCTTGTTTGTTTATTTTTAGATGATTTTCCCATAAGAATAAGAGCTGAGGGCAGGAACTTAGTTTTACTGCTAATTTCCACTGTGTATGATATAGTACAGGGCCTGGCGTTAATAAATACTTTTTAAGTGAATGAATCAATGAGATTGTTCAAGTTAAAATATAGTTTTACTGTATAGATGGGGAGAATGCGTGATCCAATTTTTAATATTTATTTTCTATGAGATATTTATGCTCATGAAAAAATGAACCATTTAAAAAGATGAGATTTATTGTTTCCATCCCCCTACCCACCCCCTAAAAACCCCAGCAGGATTTCAAGTTTAGAGTATTTTGTACATAGTATGAGATGTCAATCAAGAGGCCTAATTGAGAACACCAGCTCAGTTTATAATAGCAAGACTGCGTAGTCATTAAACTGCTCTGGGTTCATTTCCTTACTTTGTTTCTTTTCTTTTTCTTTTTTTTTTAAAGATTTTATTTATTTATTTGACAGAGAGAGACACAGTGAGAGAGGGAACACAAGCATGGCGGAGTGGGAGAGGGAGAAGCAGGCTTCCTGTGGAGCAGAGAGCCCGATATGGGACTCGATCCCAGGACCCTGGGACCATGACCTGAGCCAAGGGCAGTTGCTTAACAACTGAGCCATCCAGGCGCCCTCCTTACCTTGTTTCTTTTCTAGGTTCTATCTCAGTGCCTGGTATATCGTTAAGGTAGTCAATAAATGTTTTTTGGGTGAGTGAATTAACCTATTAAAATGAGTAAAATCATGTACTGGGTCCTAGTTTCTCAAAGTATCCTAAAGATCCTAGAATGAGAGCTTCTGGAATAAAATGGATCAAAGAAATTTGTGAAACTCTATTCCATTGATTCTCAAAGTTAAATATGCCCCAGAGTCACCTGGAGTGCTTATAGTCTTTTAGGTTTACCCTCCCACCTCCGTATTTGAAGTAGGGTAGTGAATTTCTAACAAGTTCTGAGAAGGTAGGGAGATGTGATGCTGGTTATGCTGGTCCTGCTGGGACCACACTTTGACAACTCCTTTTGTATCTATTTCAGTTGAGGTGATTCACACTGACCTATTGAAGGTTTAAAGAAGCACTACCTAAGTAGGGGAAGCTGTTTAACTCTTAACCCAGTATTTCTAAAACTTATTCGACTCTAGTACCCATTCTGTGTGTGTGTGTGTGTGTGTGTGTGTGTGTGTGTGAGAGAGAGAGAGAGAGAGACAGACAGAGAGAGTGTCATCTGTCTATCACATTATACCCAATGTCTATGAACATCCTTGGAACTATTGTTGTGTGGGTCCTACTTTCAGAAACAAAGCCAGCTCACATCTGCAGTGTTTTCCACATGTAAAATGATGATTTTGTTTGTTTGTTTTGTTTTTGGCATGCTAGGGTAGGTGAAAACTTAATTAATTTGGCATGTTAGGGCAAGTGTTAGTAGTGAAACTCTCAGAAATTGAATCCTGTTGCACAGCTGGGAGATATGATATTCGTGATCTGCATGGAAACATTTATATACGTTTTTGATTTTTGCTGACATAAATTTGGGATAAATGTAAGGATGTATATAGCAAGCAGAGTTTCACGAAAATTGAGCCCAAAATGATGAAATGATTTCTTTCTCAGTACTTTTTTAAAAATCTTTTATTCATATTTCTCTTTCTGCATGTTTTTTTAATCTGCCAAACACATTTTCATAACTTCAGTTCATGGCAAAATTAGGAAGTAATATTTTATCATGAGAATTGTTTTCTCTAAAATCTCAGCTAGTGTTTCTTTTCTCTAGTTGTATTTTGAAATGTGGGCTAATCTTGTCTCCCACTATAGTGTTCTGTTTTGCATGCTGGATTTTGTTGACTTCACTGCATATTTTAAACATGGTTGTACTTATTCTGGTCTTCTTAGAGTAGTGGGTATAATAAAAGATTTCAGTAATGATCAGAAAGGGGATATTTGAGAAAGAAGTGATGGTTACAAACTCTTCAGATATTAAATGTAGCACAGAGAGTCTTCAAACTTGAACTTAATGGAGTACTTTATGTTCTCCAAGGCTGTGGATCTTTCCATTGATGAGTCCAGCTTGACAGGAGAGACAACACCTTGTTCTAAGGTGACCGCTCCTCAGCCGGCTGCAACTAATGGAGATCTTGCATCAAGAAGTAACATTGCCTTCATGGGAACACTGGTCAGATGTGGCAAAGCAAAGGTAATTTTTTCTCTTGTTTTGAAAGTAGCAGTTTCTTTGTTTTCAACCCTTTTTAAAGTTCTATTTGGTAATTTTATGTGTCTCTTTTTAAAAATATATGACGAAGGGGCACCTGGGTGGCTCAGTCGTTAAGTGTCTGCCTTCGGCTCAGGTCATGATCCCAGGGTCCTGGGATTGAACCCTGCATTGGGCTTCCTGCTCAGCAGGAAGCCTGCTTCTCCCTCTCCCACTCCCCCTGCTTGTGTTCCCTCTCTCGCTGTGTCTGTCAAATAAATAAATAAAAATCTTTAAAAAAATATATATGACGAAGAAATGACAGAATTGAACCTAACCCATAGCCACTATTTGTGAGACTAAGGCGCCTATGTCCCTGAGGTGTAATATGTCCATATTTCTGCCATTTGCCAGATAATGGAGCCTTAAAAACATAGTCCTCAGTATCTGTTCTTTTTTTTGTTTGTTTTAGATAGAAACAGCGGCACATGGATATGTTCATTACTAGTTAAATAAAAATTTAATTTATGATAATGGTACTGGCTATCATATTCTGAATATGTATCACTCACCTACTGATGGATTTTAGATATTTTGTTTCCTGGATTCTAATATTTCACAAATATAAAAGACATGATTCAGTAGCATTTGAGGGGAAAAAGAAAATACATTAAATGTCTCTCTTGAGTATAAGATAGTTTTGAATTTCAGAAATATTGATATAGACTAAGAATGGGCCTCAGAATTGGGTCAAGGCTTATACAGTAAGGCATAAATACTAGTGATCTATAGTAATATCACAAAGTTAATTTGCTATGGGAACCTTGGATATGAGTGTCAGTCATCTTGACTGTGGGCAAGGCTTTGGAGAAAGTGAATGAGAGGTTTTTGTTTTTTTTTGCTTGAGAGAGGTGATTCCATCTGAATGTAAATGTATTTTCCTGTTTTTCCCTTTAGGGTATTGTCATTGGAACAGGAGAAAATTCTGAATTTGGAGAGGTTTTTAAAATGATGCAAGCAGAAGAAGTAAGTACTTAATTTGTTAATGATGTTTTCATTTCAAATCTGAAATTCTCTATTACAAGTAGAGGAACAGAAAGTATTGGTGGATTATTTTATGTGCTATTGAAAGTAGTATTTTATTCAGAATATCACTCAGTTGTCTGTGTTTAAAAACATAATTGGAAAGACTGTATTTGAAAAGGCTTGAATTGACATTGTTAATATGCTAAAACTTTTTTTTTTTTTTAAAGATTTTATTTATTTATTTGACAGAGAGAGACACAGAGGGAGAGAGCACATGAGAGGGGTTAGGGTCAGAGGGAGAAGCAAACTCCCTGCTGAGCAGGGAGCCCGATGAGGGACTCGATCCAGGAACCCCAGGATCATGACCTGAGCCGAAGGCAGTCGCTTAACCAACTGAGCCACCCAGGTGCCCCTGTATTTGTAATTTTTTGTTGAAAACTTTGTATTTTGAATGTTACACTGTCATAATTCTGTACATTAGATTCTACCCTTCCTCAAGGTTTATTGCTTTTGATTTTTGAGGGTTTTAGTGTTTGAATTTGTTGAGTGACTTTTCTTTAAAAAAAAAATACAGGTTTTTTTTTTTTTTTTTTTTTGGTAGACTGTATTCCTTTTTGTGTGTGGTCTCTGACGTTTTTGTTCCATTATCTCAGCAGCTAGCCTTATCTTTCTCAAGTCAAAGAGGAAAAACAATTACTATTCTCTTGGTCTTTGTAGCTTGTCTTTGAGTTGGGGCACTTCTTGATCCTTGAGCCTAGGCTGTCTCCAATGCTGCCTTCACCTTCACCTTCACCTGCTTGTGTCAAATCCACAGATCTGTCAGGGTGCAAATCTAGGGTCTTCTCAGATTTTTCTGAGCACACATCTGGTTATAGGCATCCATTCTGCACTCTGTCTTCCCTGGTATATGTGGCAGCCCTTCCAAGCCCATATTCCCTCACAAAACTTCTCTTTGGCTTCTTTCTTCCCAGTCTTTTGGTTGTGTCTGCTGCTTGCCTTATTCCTAGTCCCTTGCCTGCTGGTATATGTCCTTAATCTTTTGGCAGACACCAAGAAAGTCACAGGCTGCATTGGAGTGGGGTGGTGAAATAAATATTAGCCTCTGCACCAGTCCCCTGGGGAACTGTCAGACAGGTTAAAACATGAAGTACAGTCCTTTAAGAACAAAGTCTTTTTTAGTCCCCAACTACCAGTAAGCTCCAACAGGAAGGCAAGCTTCTGTCCCCACAGCCAGCACTGCTTCTCTGGGCAGTGGGAGATGGTAGACAGGTAAAAAAAAATGCCACAGTGCCTTCTTACCAAAATTTAGCTGCCTTTTTCTTCATTAAGCACTTCCTTGGTTGTTTTAAGTTTTTGATTCGAGAGTTGATTCTGTCAGTTTTTGTCAGCCCATGATTGTTTTAGTAGAGGGACCAATTCTTTCAGTGCCCTATTCACAAGTTTTTATATCAACTTCAGTGTATTTTTTTGATAGGCCAACTTGATAAATTGATTACAGTATATTGCTCTCCCTCTTACTGTAATTTATCCCTGAAACTTTGGTTTTAAACGTTTCTGAATTGTCAAACTTATATACAGACTTGTAAAAAAAAAAAAAAAAGCGATTTTAAATTAGCTGTCAAAAGAAATGGAGTAGACTATTGGAGAAGGTATATGGTGTATTTGTGGAATTTAGAAACATTCCTGTTTACTAAAAACTGTTCGATGTAATCACTCATTTTGGTTTTGGAAAGGATGTATATTTCTGAAGTAGTATTGTTATTATACAGTTTGGAAACCCCATCCAGATGTAGAGCACTGGGAATGTTGGTTCTCTTAGATTGTATAAACTTGAGATGTGCTTAGGGTTTTATTGTCTTACTTGTATAGATCATTGGTTAAAAAGCAGTGTGAGCTGGGGTGCGGGGTTAGCTCAGATGGTTAAGCATCTGCCTTCAGCTCAGGTCATGATCCCGGGGTCCTGGGATCGAGCCCCACATCGGGCTCCCCGCTCAGCGGGGAGCCTGCTTCTCCCTCTCCCTCTGCTGTTCCCCTTGCTTGTGCTGTCTGACTCTGCCAAATAAATAAAATCTTTAAAAAAAAAAAAAAAAGGCAGTGTGAGCTGAGGAATGCTATTTATGTTTAAAATATTGAAGAGAAAACTTTGTTTTTTCATTAAGTCACTAGAATTCATTTTTTATTTTATTTTTTTTAAAGATTTTATTTATTTATTCATGAGAGACAGAAACAGAGGGAGAAGCAGGCTCCCAAGGAGCAGGAAGCCCGATGCGGGACTTGATCCCAGGACCCTGGGATCATGACCTGAGCTGAAGGCAGACACTTAACCATCTGAGCCACCCAGGCGCCCAAGTCACTAGAATTT